GGGGTGCTTTTTGTTTTTATGAATATCTCAAAAACAAAAAATCTGAAGAAACCCACTTTTTCCTAGAACAGCCCCCAAATAATTAATGTGTACACGTCCATCAAATCACAAACTTCTTTTTTTTATAAACATGCCTTGCCAGCAAAAAAGAAGAAAAGAAAATAACAAAGGAGAAGCGAAAGTGTAAGTGTTTTAAGGATGGTGGTGGTGATTGTCTCCACTTGTCAGCCTTCGTTAAGAGAAAATATTAGTATACAAAATCAGTAAGTTTTATTAAAGTATCATTTTAATAATACATATTTAGAGACTAGTACTAGATTGATTTATCAAATAACAACATCGTTTATTAAATTCTTTCCTGTGGCTATTCCTACTTTTTTTTTATATGAATAAATCAATAACAGGGATACGTCTTCTCCTAAAGCCAGAGGCAGACCTAAATTAAATAAAATACAAAAGGAACAGTATGAAAAAGAGCATGAAAGAAAATTGAAAGTCAAAAAGAGATATGAATTATTGTAGGTATAAAATTGACAGATCTTCTTCAGTCTGCCCTTAAGAAGACTACTACTTGATTGCTTGTATTAACTGCAATCAAACATTTGTTTATACATTAACAAATGAATATAATAATACTAATCATTGTTTTGGGCAAATACTTGCTCATAAAGATAGTAAATCTTTTACCTGCAATTTGAATTGTTCATTCAATAAGCCAACTGATTTTTGTCCCTATTCAACTCCTAAACTCACTGTTAATACATCTATGGAAATGATGGATACAAAATCCATCTCTTCTGACAATACAATCTCTTCCCAAGCCCTTCCACTGATCAATAACCCCGAAAATCTGGAGTAATATTATTCATATTATTTTATATTATTATATTATTTATTTGTGTTTATTTATTATTTTTAGTTATCTATTATTTATTTTTAGTTCTTTATTTTATCTATTATTTATTTTTAATTTTATTATATATATTTGTATTAATTTTCCGAATGGTTATCCAACACTATCAT